TCTTGTATCTAATTATAACTTATCTATTGGTGGTTCAGTGTGATGGCAGTCTTGTTTGGGAGTAGTCCTTTCTGACCAGTTTGGATATATATCTGCTGTGTAAAACTGATGTTTTTATTCAAGGTGGAAAATTGAAATCTTAATGCAGCATTGATACATCTTACTTCTGTTTATCTTATCCCAAGAAGGGTTAACTTTGAACAACACTGTCTCTTTTAACTCGGCTAGATGTGGCATGTGAGATTGACAGTAGTTCCACTGGTTATTATCCTTTCCTAGACAAATGGAATAGGGAAAGGACACTTGGGGCAAGTCTGTTTAAATTGTTGCATTGTAACCATTTACACTATAGGAAGATGGACTGAACCGCATACATTTTAGCAATTGCTTATTTTAAATGGAAAATGCTGAGTAATGTGTTTGAGCTTACTCATGTCAGATGATAGAAAACAAAAAAATCACCTGAGTGTTAGCTAACAAGTGAAGTATTACTCATACTGAAGCTGCTATATATTAAAGACTATAATGCATTGCAAATTAACAGACTGTTGTTCTGTAAACTCACAACCAGTTCTTAGCTTTTACTAGAACTTAAGTTACAAGTGTATATTCAGTATTAAAATCCTAATTAGGGGGAAGTATATTTAAATCTATTTTCAAGTGCAACACACAACTTACATCTGCTAGGTTTTAGAGGTTTGTTTGCAGGTAATTCTGTTTGAATTAGCTTCAGTATTTTTCTTGCATAGGTATCTTTCTCAGCTGACTTACTAAAGATTTTTATTTTCTAGGTTTTTACTTTCTAGATAAAGATCAGTTGTGCTAGATGGTGGTGCCAGCCACAGTGGCTGTGTGCCAGAAGCCAAGCATTTTGATAGCAATTTTTGCCAAGTGGCTTTCAAGTCTCATGAACTTGACCCTTCTTTCAGGGGAAGTGAGTTGTCCCTTCATTGCCCTGCTTCCTGGAAGATGAGATTTATTGATGGAATTCTGAGCAAACAGTGTCTGCTAGGCTTCCTGCTGTCCCCTCAGGTAGCTGGGGAAGGAAGGGGAATAGTGGGGAAAAAGGAAGTTTCCTAGGACCAAAAGAGAGCTAATTCTTAACAGCTCAGAACAACAAATCCCAGCTCTAGGTGTGATAACTCAGAATGAAACAGAATCTGGGCAAGTTGCAAAACATACAGTGACTCTCACCCCCTTTGCTAAGGACTTCAGTTTCAGAAAACTTCTAAATTGTTGAATCTTACTGAAATTAATGCTATGTGAAAAAGGTGCAAGCAATGAAATGTAATACATTACTGAAGCAGTATCCATAGACAACATTCTCTGAATATAAGTTCTTTAAGCATTTTTCCTGTGTATAGTTAGAATATATAAATTAGAGGAGGAGGAATACCTTAATTTAAGTAATCACTGGAATTTTATGCAATTTATTCTTCCATTTTTAGTAATGTGGTTTAAGAAAACTAGTCTTACAACAATGAATCTCAGTTTCATACTGAGGAAAATACCCTAAAATGTGTTAAGAAATAACACATGCTGAACACCACAACAGCGCTTTGTCTTCAGTACTTTACAAATAGTTACAACCCATTCCTATTTTGCAGGATAACACATTCCCTTGAGGGCAGGAAAAAATTAGTTACAGTGGTATGACATTTCAAGGGGTTAGAAGTTATCTTTTAAAATAATTCTTAATCAGCTACAAAGGTCAAGTAAGCTTCTATCTAAACTTCTTGACAATCACAATGAACTACAAGTCTTTTAGGTAATCTAATGCTAGTGTATATAGTTAGAGATGATAGTACACTAAAACATTAGGCATAAAGAATCTTGTTAACTTACTGTTGTTTTTTTTTTTAATAAAAACCTCAAGCCGCCTTATAAAAAAAAAAAAACCCTTATTCTAAAAGAAAATTATGCTTCTACCATAGTTTTATAATGCAATACAAAACCAAATTCTGTAGAACAATAAATAGGCCAACTGACAAATTGGAATGTTTAATGTAAACAGTTACCACTACACTGCTGTCTAGAACTGCTAAATTCTGCACAATTAGCACTGAAGCCTTGCAATATCCCATTCTCTTCAGTATCTTGGATTTATCCTGATCACAGCAAACATGGAGTTAAATTAAAAAAGTTGATAGTTGGGGTTTGTGGTGTGGTTTTGTTTGTTGTGGGTTTTGGGGAGGTTTTTTTGTGGCTTTTTTTTTTTTTTTTTTTTTTTTTTTTTTTGTTAAAAAGGTGAATCCTAGCTTTATTCTTCAATATGGAATTCCTTGTCAACTCTTAATCCCATTGTTTTTGCCCCACTTATTGCCCGACTTCAAATGCTACAGGGAGAAGTACAAAAAGCTGTAATGTAGTAACTGAAAGATTTAAAGTTTCTTCTCATTAGTAATAAACTACAACTAGTTGTGTAAGCTAGCAAAAATTTCTGGTCCTTAGGAGCTGTGGAATACAACTTGGCAAGTACTCTAGCTGTTACAAGGTGTTTCTTGAAGGCCTAAACTTTCTTTCTCTAAACTCTGTAGCTTCCAGGTTATCTTGGGAGACAGTTTATCTGCACACAAGTGTACTTAAGAACTGTAGAGAACAGTAACTGTCATGCTTATACAGGAATAGCAGTCTTGGACAACTGTTACTACCACTAACTTGCTGTTAGGCTCACCTATACACCGCACAACGTTTGGAGGCCAAGATACTGGAATGCTGCCATGTGTTCTTGAGCTAGTAGGTTCCAGTTTCATCATGATCAGGTTCACTGATGATTACTCTATAACAAAATGCATTCCCTTCCTCTTTACTATGTTCTCAAAAAAACCTTACCTTTGTGTAAATATATAAAATAAAATACTGCAGTCTTGCTGTTGCTTGCTTCTGCATTTTTTTTTTTTCTTTAAACTGTCTTCCACTTTTGACCCTGCTGGGGGGTTGGAGGTAGATTTTTACACAAAGAAACCTTGACCATTTCTCCCTACCCCAGCAAAGACAGTGATTAGAAGCAAGAAAATACACACCTCTATTAGAGAGTATTAGGTATGCCCTTCAGTTCATAACTTGCTGACACCCTCCTGCAATCTTTGCTACGTGTGTATTGAATGGCAGAAGAGCAAAGAGTCCTTGGATGGTCTGTAACTCCTGCTGCGTGTCTGCTCCCCGGGTAACTAGAAGGAGTCACAGCCAGCCAGTGGCTCCATCAGCACTTACTGCGCTGCTGCAGGACCAGAGCAGGAGAGAAACTGAGGGTGCTGGGGTAGAACAGCTTCCCCTACACACATACACCTGGCTCTGTTCTGGTTCCCTCAGCTGAACACGTGTTTGTTAGTAGGTGGAATGTCTTCTCCATGGTTTCCTCCAGAGCAAACCTATGCTTTTTAGATGAATTTTGATTCACTGCAGGGAACTAGCTGGACACTTGCTTCAAAAGTGCAATTTTGAGCTGGGTCTAGATGTTTCCAGTGCTATGCAGAACTGTTTTGACTGACAGCCCTCCTGAAGAGAGCACCAGTTAGAACAACACATCCCAGTTCTGAGCTCAAATGATCTGCTTATGCCACTTTTTCCAAGTTAAAGCTGCACCTCTTTGTACCTGGGCAAATTATAAAAAGTAAATAATTTTTCCTTACCTTTAAGATGAAATACCAGCTAACTAGAAATCTGTTCAAGTTGGGCTGAGTTTGAGATACCCCTATCAGATGAGGCCCACTTATGAGGTACAAGTAAATGGTTATTAAAGTAGTGTGTTGTATTACAACTTTTAGATTGAGACAGCTTCTTCATAATGTAGCCAGCAGGCTCTTCTGTACAGCCAAAGGATCAAACGTACAGCATTTACTAAACATTAAGAAAGTTCAAGATAAAATACAAAATATTAAGGGATTGGTTTATTGAAACATGAATAAATAACAAGGATGGCACACACCTACATTTATGTCAGTGGGAAGTTAACAGTTGAAGTACCTTTGAGAATGTCTGCACCATCTCTGAAAGCTATACACCTACATGTAACATGGTTATGAAGGGGGGCGGAGGCCCTCCAGGGTGCTTCGCCCTGTCAGGAGCCATGCTGCTCCAGGAGGGTTTGGGGTTTTTTTTAACGTGACCTTCAAGCTAGAGTATCCTTCCTGTATCATCATTTCTATCATTTTATGGTAAGAAGTCAATCACTCTAGGAACTTTAAGCTACAGGCACAATGGCTTCAGGTCACAGCAAAACTGCCCTTCCAGCATAAGCGTTGTTCAAACCTGAGTTCTCAGGACGTATCAAGCCAAAACTTACCTCTGGCACACAAAACCACCCGATTGCTACAGCAGTCTTCAAAGAGGTTCTGATTGTTTTATTTTTTTAATTCAGCTTTACAATAAGAAAATCAGAAGAGGGAAAAAGTAACTTAAAAAAAAATGCACTTAACTAAAAACAAGATTAAAATTGCTCTGGTAAAACAAACATTAAATGATGTGATTACATTTTTATATAGCTTGTATGAAAAATGTTTTCCAAACTATAAAAGATTTTCAGGAAGGACAAAAAATAACTTTCCTCAAAAATAATTTGTAATACGTAGTCCAGGTGAAGAATGAAACTACATCAATAATACAGTGAAATTTCTGAAGACTCAGATCTTAAACACGGGTTATGTTATGATGTAATTCTTTATAGCAAATGAATGTCTTCTCTGTCGTATCTAATTTTAGTGCACTTCCCTTTTCCAGAGACTTAGACAACTTATATATTAATTTATTTTAAAATTAAAGTGTAAAGCATGCTTTAATCAAGCAAACTTTACAAGGTTGTACCCTCTATCTGTATATTGGTTAATAAATACTCCGTGGAAAAAAACCAAAAGAATCGGCACTAAAGTTAGCTGAAAAGTTTTGTTTTGAAAGGAAGTAGAAGGACAAGAGAGAAGAAATACCAGAACTGATATTTTTCATAATGTGACTTGGGAAAAGTCCACAATAGATTAAGGCTAGATTAAATCTTATTTTAATTTGACATAAACTGACAACAGAAAACTTACAGTGCACTGAGCTTTTAAAAATCTTACAGAGCTACATACAGAGCTAGCTTTCATTTCATTTTGAAGCACCTTGTGCCTAAACTATGTATTTCAGTTAAAACAAGCTGTTGTCAACAAGAATACAATTATCAAAGTTAAAAAGATAAGGTGCCGCCTCTTTAGATGGATCCCTTGTACCACACAGTTTCCAAACTTATATTTGACAGTCCCTCTGTTATTAATGGCTCTAACTTTCAAGACATATATCCATTCCCAAATCTTCTGTACAATCTTAAAGGATAAGTGAAGGATTCAACTTCATTTCTGACGAATTTACATGGAAATTTGCCCTACACTTGTTTAGCAGCAAAAATAACCAGTTGAATTCCTCAGAGCTATATTGCATTTTTCCAACAGTTTACAATGTATTGAATTCATACTTTATTAGTGCTTTCATCTGATAATATGTAAGCCTTTGGAAAAACAGGCAGGGATGTTGTGACTGTAAAATTATTTCTATATTAAAGTGACAGTTCTACATATTTTTCACTTATTCTTTTACAAAGATGATATTCTCTTCATCGTCTGACATCAGCAAGACCAGTAATTACTGAAGGCCCATCCACAAGCACATTCCAAAAAAATCAATGTTCATATGGTTTTGAGGATGGGATTATTAAATTTATTTCATTTGTAACCTAGGAGCTGTGAATCATTCAAGTTTCAATAATGTTAGTCCTTAAATGTTTAGCTCAAAGGTAGTACAAAATATTACTATAACAGAAGGAACATCATCCCAGGTTCTGAGATTCTATGAGAATTCAGAATTCCTTCGCTTTCCAGGGCCATCTTCTCCTAGCAGTCTTTAAGCAAAGTCATGAATTCTCAGTTCAGTTTTCTAGAAGAGGAACCAAATAAATTAGTTTAATGTACCTTCATATATGAGATGATTTTTCATTTGTCTAAATAAACAAACCAATTAAGGTTACATGTGAATGATTTCCAATCCATTAAAATACAACATTGCTTCAAGATACCTGAAAATTTGCTCTCTTAAGTTACAAAACAATCTGCAAGTTTGCATAACTGGCACAACTTACACTGGGGAGTACAAAATATCACTAAGAATTCTGAACTGCAGATGAAATTCCTCAGAACAGTCCCTGACTACATCAGTCAGTGATTTGCTGACTCACAGAAGAGCAACACTTGCGAGCTGGTTTTCCAGTGACTCCAGAAAACACGCAATCAGCATGTTCTAAAATCATGACCTGAATCTAAACAACTCTCAATTATTATTAAAAATGTATTTCTGTGATCTGGTTTTAGAGCCCTTAAGATTCAGGTTTTCAAGCTTTCTTCAGTGAAGGCTCCAATATGAGTACCCAGATTTTCAGCATTAAGCTCCCTCTAAAGGAATGAGACATGTTAAGAGGCTCAGAAGATGACCTAACCCAGCCAGAACACCGTACAGGAGGGTGCTAAGAGTGAGCTGAGCTACCCCTTCCCAGGGACATGAGCTAAGCACAAAGCTGTTGGCTGCAGAAGGCCTTCTCTCCACCAGCTGCATGGAATTTGCTCCACTCTGCAAAAGAGTTCAGGAGTCATGGCTCCACAGCTTCATGATGAGAAAACCTCACATTGGTAGCACAGACTCCTGCTTTCTGCTCCAGGACATTTTATCTATTTTAAAACCAAAAGTACACAGATAGGGTCAACATATGCCCTGTGTACAGCTGTTGCCCTAAAGCTTACACACCTTAACAGAGTACAAGCTGAAACTGGGGACTCATTTCACAATTCCATTTTCTCTGAGTGTACTTGATCAGCTTCCTACCCATTGCTAAAGGAGATGGAACTCCGGATGGAAAGGTGATGCACAAGCAGACAGTCCTTAAATTCTGGCTATGCGTAGATTTCTTCAGACACAAAGAGGAAAACTGAAGAACATAGGAATTTCTTTAGTTGTTTCTGTTCTTGAAGTTCATCTCGTCTGAACACAATCCATGAATGAGTAAACAAAACAAGGACTATCTGGGGCTATGCTATCTCTGTGTCTCACCGTTAGTATTACTGTTAGTAGACTGGTACAAATCCTGGTGTCCGGAACTCAAAAAGAATGTTGATAAACTGTGGAGCATTGCGGAAAGAGCCACCAGAATCATCCCGAGACTGGAGAACTTTAAAATGAGATTCCAGTTGCTCCATCTGTTTTAAGCAAGAGATTAAGAGATGACTTGGTGATGGCAACAAAGTACTCATGGAAAACACATCAGGGGCTCTTTGTCAAGTAGATAAAGATCTAGGAAAATCCAGTGGATGAAAGCTGAAGCTAGAAAAACCCAAACTAAAAATAATAGTTTTGAGTTGCCCAAATAAACCATTTGTTTATTCATTTAAGCTCCGAATCATTAGAGCAATATATTAGAAAAATTGCTGGAAAGGGCACTTTTCTAAAAAGTGATTTCTGACTGAACCTGTGAATTGATTGAGGGTGCTACAGAGGTCAGAACAGATCATCAAAAAAGGTTTACAAGAACAGCATACTGTTCAGAGAGAGAGAGAACATGGCCATTCAAGAGCTATTAGCTAAACAACACTAAAGTTCATAGGAGCTTCACATCAGATACTAAAAAAATGGTATTGATTTTAAAAAACTTTGTCCTTGTCCTATGTCCTTCATCAGAAATGGAAATCTCCATTTACCAGTGCAGAAAATAAGGAAAATCTGTGCAACTGCCTAAAAGCCTTAGTAGTGAAATCTCTGGTTTCATCAGAGAGTGCAAGTAACATCGATGCTGCTCACGACAGCTCTGAGACAGGGTAACTCCCCGGCAGGCGTGCAGCCTTTGTGGGCTGGGCCCAGCGGGGGGTGACCAGTGACAGAAGTCCAGCTGGAGGCAGTAATTAGCAGTGTATGCCAAGGGTCGGCACTGGGTCCAGTCCTGTTCAACATCTTTATTAATAATGTGGATGATGGAGCGGAGTGCACCCTCAGCAAGTGGGCAGATTACACAAAACTGGGAGGAGTGGCTGATATGCCAAAGGGTGGTGCTGCCATCCAGAGGGACCTCAACAGGATGGAAAAATGGGCTGACGGGAACCTCATGAAGTACAAGGCAAAGTGCCAAGTCCAGCACCTGGAGAGGAACAACCCCAGCCACCAGTACATGCTGGGGCCTGCCTGGCTGGGAAGCAGCTTAGCAGAATAGGACCTGGGGGTCCTAGTGGACACCAAGTTGAACATGAGCCAGCAACGTGCCCTTGCAGCAAAGGCGGCCAATGGTGTTGCAGGCTGCATTATCCCTCCCAGCAGGTCGAGGGAGGTGACCCTTCCCCTCTACTCAGCACTGGAAAGGCCACACCTACAGTGCTCTGTCCAGTTCTGGCTACAAGAGAGACGTGGACATACTGGAGAGAGTCCAACAAAGGGCTGTGAAGATGATTAAGGGACTGGAGCATCTCTCCTACGGGGAGAGGTGAACACTGGCAGAGGTTGCCCAGAGAGGCTGTGGAGTCTCCCTCCTTGGAGATATTCAAAAGCTGTCTGGACACAGTTCTGGGCAACCAGCTCTAGGTGTCCGTGCTTGAACACAGGATTGGACCAGATGACCTCCAGAGGTGCCTTCCAACCTCAACCATTCTGCGTTTCTGTGATTTACCATATGAAAGAAAACTATACCATGAAAACTTGAAACATTAAAAAGCTTGAACAATTCAAGCTAATTCTAGTAAGATCTACACACAAGCAGACTTCTCTGCAGACTGACAGAGAGGAAAAAAACTTAAGAGCACACTAAGGTAACAAAGTCAGGTGTGAGACTGAAGTGAGCAGATAGCAACTAGAGAACATTCACTTGGTCTGATGCTTACAGAGCTGACAAAAGGTAAGATGAGAGCTGAAGGAAGTCCAAGCAGACATTACAAAAATATCGTAGTAAGTTGCTAGTAAATGTTAAATTTCTTTAGGAAAAAAATTTCTCATGGCACAAGGGGACTAGGGAGTCTAGAAACAGTGAAAATGGCTCAAGAGGATATTGGGAGTGAGAGGGTCAAAGAATGTCACGGAGACACTTCCAAGCTATCCAGCCTCACCCACTTGTGTATGCTCACTGAAATAATGTATCTTGCATCACACTTCATGGATTTAACCTAAATTGCCACATATAAAGCATACCACATATAAAGTCAAATTAACCAATATTTTCTTATGCTGAGAAACTTCAAGGCAAAGAAAACTACATGTCTCTTCCTAGAATTCCCAGCTAATGGAAAGCACTCCTACTTAGCTTCCAGAATTTCTTGTTGCGCATTTGGTTTTAGTTCTTGGGACTGAAACACGCACCTTCCTATCATAACCGTACCAAGGACTCTACTGCACAATCTGCTTTAGCCTGGTATCTTCAGAGCTATGAGTCACTAATACAATGGAACATTAAGCAAGACATGTCTTGAAGCAAAGAACTCAAGGAAACAGGATTTATCAAAGCAACTATTACCAAGCTCCCCATTTTGATACTGACCTGATGTTTCAGATACACTGTCAAAGCCTTATTAAGAGCATACACTTGCATTCTTGTTATGCATGGAGGCAGTATTTTATGTCCTGTCTAAACAACATGATATACTACATATTGGTTTAAACAGATGAAATGCAGTATACATGCCCTATTGAATGCTCATCTTTACCTTCGCTTTCTTTGAAGATACACATGTACCAACCACTGGGCGACAAATGGCCATACAATAGCAAAAGCTAAAATACCAGGAGAAATTTCAAAGGGCCACCATGATGGTTTCTAAGGAAAACAGAAAAAAATTCTAGTCAGCAATCTGTGTGCGCATACTGAATACCACATGTATACTTCTCAGTCACTTCAAATGCTAGAGTATCAAAGTAGAAAATACTAGTAAGACCAGAAAAAAAAAAAATCTATCAAAAAACTTTTTCAGACGCAGATTATTTTTTATCTCCTAGTCAAGGGAGAGACAATACAAAAAGCACATGCTAAGAGCTAGCTATAAAATATTAATCTCATCTTTTTTCACCATTCACACTGCTTTTTACAAATAGAAAAAACAATATTTTACCTTGACCGAGGAGGCAGGCTGATAATTTGACTGTAGTGTTGCAGATTTTGCCTTTAAATACACGGAAAGGCCGGTAAGTATAAAAAAAGGAAACTGCAGTTAAAATTTTTCTGCTTCACAAAATGAGAATATGAAGTTTTCATCTTGTGAAGGCTTTGCAATCTGTATACATGATGGTTTAAGAAACAGAACCACTCCCATGCAACCCCCCTTTCGCTACTTGGTTTCCAACTTACCTCTCATGTTTCCATTACTTTAGCATTTTTATCACATCTCTGTGTGTTAAAAAATTAAGTGTCACTTACTGGAACTCTTTACAGTTTTTCAAGGCCCCCCTGCCCAACTTGTCATCACAACTTCCTCAACTCTGGTCCAGTCCCCAGCAGCTGCGACCCAGAGTAGAAATCCCAGCAGCTTAATCTGCATGATCACATGTTTCAACACTAGTTTATACAAAGGCAAACAGCACTGTTTTAGTCTGCCCTGAGCTATAGCTACAGGCATGTCTAACAGCATAAAGGAAAGAGAATGCCCTGTTCCAAATCTTCCAGGTAATCCAGAAAATGAGAAGTACCAGAAACTTTTCAAGACTATTCCTATACACTGTTGTGGTGCTTCCACAAAAATAAAGCAGTTGCTTTTCTAGGTCTTTCTTAATTTATGTAAGTGTGAAACAGAAGCTTCTGCTTCTCTTTAGGTAAGGGTAGCAAGCACAGCATGAACTGCTGGGGAAGAATCTTTTACTACTTCTTCATATATTGCTCAGGCAAAAGAAGAAAATCAATCTGTATCCAACCATCAGATTCTTGAATAGCTGTGATGGAGCAAAATCATGGTTTTAATAAATCCTTTTCCCTGGCTGCCTTAGATTTGGAGTATGTGCATCCCATAGGATACTGCTTGTACAGCTCTCTCATTCTCAGGTAGATCAAAATATATCAGCAGTCAAGCAAAACCAAACATCTTTAGGTTGCTGGTTCAACTATATTCACAGCATATTCTGTTCTCCCGAATATACAGTATTTCCATTGAAACAGAAGGAAAAAGAAACACTACATCAATAAATATCTATACTTGCTTAAGACTTCTTTTGCCTGTCTTGTATACATGATGTGAAATTCCAAGAAAGCTGGATTACTTCGCGGGCAAAGAATGCTGTGAAGAATCAGTCTTCTGCTAACTGAAAAATGGAATCAGAAGTTCTGCCTGCAAACGTTTATCAGTCTGGAAGATTAAGATAATTTCTCACTTCCCTTGAAAATGCTTTGAGGTCTACTGATGAAGAAATTATCTGGGATCCTGTATTACTGACATTAAATATGGAATCTCATACAGCGACTGCATAATGTGTACCGATAACTATGGCTAAGATTAGTCTGATCAGAAATCAGTAAAATAATGTATGGTTAATTTCTAGGTCAAAATGCATGGTTTTGCTCACATGTACAAGAGTCCTGAATTGTGTTCCTGAGAGTAGGTACCAATAAGAAATTTTAAGTTGGAATACTACAGAATATAACTGAAATGTCTTTACAGATTAAGAAAATATTGTCTGAAATTTTAATCTGAAAAAGCATAAAAATATCCAAGGAAATTTAATAAAAAGTAATCAAATAACATCAGTGAATAATACCTGTGATGCTGTAACTGCCTCCAGCATATGCAACCTCTGAAGGACATTCTGCATGTCTTCTTGCAACCGCATCAGCACTACCGCAATCTGTTCACTGAGGCTACCCCTGGGTCCTCTGTCTGATCCCCAGCGCTCTCCGTCCCCTCCACTACCCATCTGTCCACCTTGTGAACCATCTCCGAGAGGCTGAAGCCTATGCCCTATGTTGAGGGAGAAAAAAAAGATACATAAAACACAATGGGCTACCAACTCTATTGAAAATGTTTGATTTTAACCGTTCAGTTTTCTCCCTTCCGAAATGACTGTGGTACTCCTAATCCTAAGCTATATTCAGACAATTCAAAAGCACTGGGAGGTTACTGCAACATAATTTGAGATGTTTCCCTA